TACAGGCCGCAGGGAAGGCGTAGAAATTATAACTCGGAGTTATAATAGTTGTTCGTTTCTGAGGTCCCCGTAGAAAACAACTGGCTAAACAAGATTGAATCATTATTTGTCGATGTTTCACGATCACTTTTCATTTGATATTACATCCTAGCACTATGAATAACATTTATAAATTGTCCCGATGTAAATAAAATGAAAAAAAGTATTATTTATCAACAGAAATTTAAAATTCACCGTGCGGCTGCCGTGGGAAATGTGACTGCAAAAGTATGAGAGCGCAGAAATTCTGCGGCGAGCGTAGAAAAGCAACTGGCCGCAGAAATGATAGACCGCACGGCGGCCGCAGGAAATGTGACTGGGGTGTTACCATTGCATTTTTGTATTCGGTCGCTGTAGTAGCGGTAAAGTGTTCTCATTCACTCTCCCTCAAAACAAGAACATATTTAGAATTGTGCAGTGGAACTTGAATGGGGCAAATACGTCTAAATCAGCTTAAAGATAATGCGATTAGCGAACATACACTGTTACTCATAAATATGGAATATTTCTGTTCATATCTGAGGCGGTATTCACCAAGGAAAGTCGCCCCCGCTTGTTGAGTCTCAACCCTATTGTCAGCGATGAGAGGTACAATGGCTTTTTGGACCTACATCTAGTTTCACATGCAAACAGAGTGTTTGGGCGTAACTTTCAACTGCAGCTTGATCAAGCTCCTGTGCATGATAGCTGCATTGTGCAGGATTTCGACAGGGCAGGCAATGTGGAGCAGCTACCAGACACCAAAGTCACCTGATCAGCCTCCCGTGGAGCACATGTGGGAAAAGACTGATAGTGCAATTCGTGACAGGTATCCCACATCTCAAAATTTAGCAGAGTTACTTAATACTCCCCTGATTGATCAGTGTGACTTATTTCGCGTAGACAGGTCAGACATCTCATTGACAACTGACCTCATGGTATTGGATGCTCTGAATGCAGCATGAGGAGGGCATACTGCATATTAGTGCTGTTATGGAATAAAATACTCGAATTCATCTTCATGACCTGATCTGTTTAGCTAGTTTTGCCATTTTGCCATAGGCCGAAATGTTAACTTCCAATATCCTCAAGAAAAAACAGATCGAATTTTTGCTCAATTATCACCTTTATTTCAAAAGCACAATGTCTTATGTACCAACCAGAGAAAAATAATTAAAATCGGTACATTGAATTTTTTCTTGACATGGTTTTATGTCCTCCCCCAGGAGGAAGAGGAAGAGCTCCATAGTTAGTGGCCGAATCACTCAAAATTATATAAGCAGTGTATAAATGCGCTGTTTTTCTGCAGTGAAAACGAAATGAACTTCAAGCTACCCATTTTAACATGTTCCATAAATGACCCACCAGGCCCGTCAAAGCCCAAAGACAAGGTATGCAGAGACATCTATTCATGTATATGGTATTTATTTTAAAGAACTATAAAGAATGTCATGAATGCGGACTCATAGTGGTGTTCATTCTTTACATCTGATCGGGATATTGGATTGGGTTGTTTTGAAAATTTTTTAGCCTTCCCCATCTTAAACGACAGCAACTTTCTATACTTAAATGGAAATATTTTTTCCCTGAAAATGTTGATTTGTGGATTAAATATGTGTATATGATTTGCCTAGAAAATAAATTGCTCAAATGACTTTAGATAACTGTTGTCTTAGTCCAATACTTGAATTCTGATCTGGCAAATCTGATATTCCATATTTATGAGCAATAGTGTATGCTATATGATTTTAATTTAAACCAATTGAACGTGAATGAGAATAAAGGAGGAGGGAAAGTATCGCAACAGTCATATATTGGATTTCTGCTTTTTTCTGAGAATTTAAACAGCAGCATATATGTTAGGAAATTACATTAATTCCAGGAAAAGCACTCATAGAGATGATACAATAATTTCGACTTTGAGACAGGGAAGATGCAAACAACCCACCCACATGTTTTTCTAAAATGTTGTCATAATTTTCAATCCCTTCCACCCCCGTTTTTTCAATTTTTGTTGCATCAATATGTATCAGTACATTTTAAGCAAATTAGTGGAATACTTGTAGAGTTGTGACGAAAATTATTGAAAAACTGAATTTTGAAAATAAATAAATCTGCCATTTTGCATACATGACCGCCCGGAAGACGGAAGAAAATAACATCACAAGACGACAACACTTTGTAATATTCGTGATCGCCAGTTGATTCTGCAGGGCTTAATCATAAACTCATATCTTTTAATGTCGATTTATCTTTTTGACTTATGGTCTTCTGACACTTGAGAAATATGTATCATAGTTAAGAAACATAACAAAGCAATTTTCGTCATAGTTAATACTGTTGAGTGCGACTTTGGTTCATATTAACTACCCATTGGTGAGAGCCAAAAAAGGTAACCCAAATAGAATTAATAACTCAGCCACCCAGCATGGGTTTTCATTCTGCCTAGTTTCAATCATTTATTCTTAGACTAATAGGTGGGTTAACTGCTTTATGTGAATCTGACTGGGACCCAATGGTCAGCTTTGACATCTCTCAGTCAAGAAACAAAAATAGATAATAGAAAACAAAATGATTAAACCATTGTCACTGCTTTTCGGGAACCTGGTGAGAAAATAACGTCACTCGGGCAAACAGAGAGCAATTATATAAATAATTTGGTCCAATATACAGTAGAAATGACACAGGACGGGATGATCGGGGATTTCTGTACCGTTGGCTCTATTTTTGTCATTTTTATCCTTTCTCAGTCTTCCCGTCTTGCCTACAAAATGTGATTGATTCCATTTTTTGTAACCCCATGAATCTGGGGGTGTTTTGGCTTTTTCTTATTTTTGACAATTTTAGTGATAGCAAAACTCCCCCACAAATCTTAGCCATTCCCAATCTTGTAGTTGGACAAAATGGTGGACAATTTCGAGACTTAGACATAAATGCTGAATAATTGCCGAAATGAAGCACTATTTCCACTGTAATCAATCACTCAATTACATTGGGAAAAGTGTTTTGTAAAAGAAAACAAGATATTTTGTAAGGAAAGTACTGTTGATATAAGACCTGATTATAATATTCAATTCATCAAGATATCCAACTAAAACAAAATGATGGACAATAGGCAAAAATTTAAGACCCAGATATAAATGCTGAAAAAGGCAGATATGAAGCATTGTTTCCAGTAATCAATCTACAAAACAGTATACCACAATATATCACGCTATTTGCAAAATACGTATACCAGTGTGATGCATCCAGAATGTCAATCTTTAGGCAATTGTATGTTTTTGAATGCTATAACAATGACGAATTGCTTGTTTTGAGCATACGACATCTTCTGAAGACGTTAACATCATGAATGTATTTTTAAGGTGATTTTGATGATGTTTTCAAACAATATTTTTTTATTTTCATAGTATTTGGGCAAATAGTGAAATGGATGTCATTTATCAATAAAAGTTTTACAATTATCCATGTTCACATTTTCGCTGTGGTTTTACATGTTGACCCAGCTCTATGCAGTTTATTTGAACCTGACCCTAGATTGCTGGGGGCTACCTGTGATTTTTTTTTAAAGGCCCAGATACTGTATTGCTCCATTTCAAAACTTGTCTTAAATCAATACATGTTCCGAGAATAAGAGACATTAGTAATTTTCGTTTTAAAGGCCGGGATACTGTATTGCTCTATTTCAAAACTTGTCTCAAATTAAAACATGTTCTAAGAAACTAAGAAATCATGCTCCCATTAATCTTTATAATTGAAATGCGATGTTTTAGTAAGTACCCGTTAAGAAACAGTACTCTTCGACAATTTATATAAATACAATTCATATAAGGTGACAAGGAGATCGCAAAGGATCGAACCGGGAGTTGTATGTAGAATGAATCTGGGAAGTTGTTTCATGCATTTCGCTTATATTTTAATATCTAATGCCGAATGTAGATTTGAAAGTTTGAATAAAATTACTCAGATGCGAGTAGGTAGTTACCAGTTTCGCCACCAGGTGGCTGATTCGGGGGAATTCACATGGCAGGGTATTACAAAATTCCCTTAAACTTGAATATGCATCAGTTATAGTGGTTCACTTTACATAGTACCTCTGAGTATCTGATAGTAATATAAATTAAAATATGTACAGTAAAAGAAAATATTATCTGCCCAACACAAGAAAAGATATTTCACTTTTTGTGGTTTTACAACATGGGGTCTATCTGGGAATATCCCCGACCTAGAAGTCACATTCTCAAAGAAAATTCAAAGTTGATAAACTCTTTTCAAAACCACATTTCTAAATGTAATTTTACGTGTAGATTCCAAATATGACATCAGTTTCACTTAATTGTGAATTTTTAATGACGTAAATCAAGATTATTTCTACTCGCATCTGGGATATTGCAGAACAAAACAAAAAATATGAATATCAAACTATTAATTGAGAAATCGAATAAAGAGGCTAAAATGACATCGAGTTGTGTTTTCTAAATTGTTTATAAATATGTTCCGAAAGCCAGACTCAGAGACCTAGTGGTTTCTATTTTACAAGGGAAGCGATGCTGTACACGTGCGATTGATGATGCCTAGATACAGATATATGGGTAGTGGTAATTTTTTTTAATTCAAGTTACGTGGAATATCGCTCTTTAATTGACGTAACGTAATAATTGCGATGTGATCAATATCTACGTTTATATAATATATATTCATTTTCATTGCAATTAGACAAAGCTCTGATCGATTATATTGCAGCTGGACTAATCAGCAATTTTATTTTTTCATACTTCAACGCATGGTATATCAAATACATATAAAAATAAATGATGTACATTAATATAATGTAATGATTACATTAACATACTAGTAATGTAATAGCTGATGTACATTAATATAATGTTATTTTGGTCACTTTGTTTTAGAACTCTAGTTTGTTCTAGAACTAGCCGTTCTTTCTGTATAATAATTATTGGACATGTAGACAAATTAGATTTTCAAATATGTGTAGTCCAATTAAAACGATCATCATCTAGTAATTCAATAAGTTGGTCATTGTATGGTTTGTAGAAATCGTCTAATAATTTCGCAGTGGATTCGAACATCGGGCCCATCTCAACATCTTCCTTCCGTCTTGTGTTGGCGGGTGCTTGCACTTTAAGGACCTGTTCCTCGAGTGGAGTCAATTTGCCTAATTGAGAAAGTGATAACACAACATTAGCATTAAATCTAAATGGGTTTTATGTCCTATATTCTTATTTTTCATCGTATTCTCCTTTTGATACATTTCAAAAATATATTTGCGATACACTTTACCGATTTGAACAATAATTCTTCGAAACCTCCAAAAAGCGCTTAAAGAAGTTCATGTTTGACATTTTCCAACAAATACCTCTATCAGCTTTTGATGTCTATTCTTTAAAATGGTCATATCTAAATTGGGAGGGGGGACTGGAAAGCCCTTTGGGAGAGCTGTAAGGCGTTTAGAGTAAAGTATTATCAGTTATCACACGTTTCAGCATGTGATACAGGAAATATTCCATGAAAGGTAACACTGTATCACCCACGAAAGCGAAGCTTGAGTGGTGATACACTGTTATCTGAGTGGAATATTTCCTGTATCACATAAGCTGAAACGTGTGATGACAATTTTATCACATGCTTAGGAATCTTGAAGCATTTTTCTTTGGTCAATTATGATTGTGTTCAGTACTGTTACTCCCGGTAACTATTATAATTTTTGTGTGTTTTGAAATTTCGCTTTGAAACAATATGACGTCATACCGTTGAATCCTTACTTTTTCATGAAATAATATGACGTCAAATGAAAGAATGGAATGTAGTTGTATGACGCCATTTCGTTACCATAGACAACGTGTGCTCATATCATATGAAAAGTATGTGATACGGGAAATACGTCATAGAAAGCAACCAATCAAATCACTATTATTCTACATAGTATGTGATAAATATTAATATTATCTTACGCATCTCGAGAAATTCTAATATCTTTTCGATCACCCCCTTATCATTCTCCGACCTTTCCTCCAGCTTAATAATCATAAACTGTTTCTTCTTGAAGACAGCTAACCAGTCTCTGATAAATACCACGTACAATCCAATTCTTAAACGAACCTAAAGACAAAACAAAGTGCAGATTGCAGATAAGTTGCATAGGGATGAGGTGATTACCTATAAATTCAACTGGCACAAAAAATGTCTCAATTCAGTGGAAGGCAGAGAATGCATTGTTGTTTCGTGTGCCCATTTGACCCTGTGATTGACATAAATTATTAATGTTGGGTGCATTAATGCTCAGGGAAATATGACGCGTATTTACAGATGGTCTAGTATATCAGGAATATTTGGCACTACACAAATCAGTAGAGTTTAATTCAGAAATATTGTTTACTACAAAAATTATAGCGTTCATAAAAAGGGTGGGGGATTTAAAAAATACCTGCTGATTTTCTTTAAGAACGCAGCTTTGAACCAATCAGATTTCAATTTCTAGAGAAGATGCATAATAGAATGAAATATCACTCAAAATCATAGGATGTTCATCACAAACATTGTATCTTTTTCAATGTTCTATTGATTTTGTTCACTTACTCTTCCTCTTCCTCTTACTGGTTCTGTATAATAGGTCAGTTCACCATCATCGTCATATGTCGCAAATGTGCTATTGTAGACACATGCTCTTTCTGGGAAGTGTTCAGTGCATGTTTTGAATGCATTTATGGCCTTCACGACTTTCACGTGGAAATCTTTAGCTGATTTTTCCGCCGCCGATGAAAAGAAGAGGTAATCGGAGTATAACCTTAAATATGATCGATTAGTATATCAATGTATCAATAAGTATATCAATGACAGTTAATCTATGTCCCTCTCAAAACTCTAAAGCGTAAACATACGCTGTTCATAAAATTATCATAACGCAGGTAAAAGCATGATACTGTTTCTATTTGATTAATTGTCATTTTAAAACACTTTTACTTGATATCAAAATGTTGATGTATTATAAGATTCACACTTACAAAATTGAATAAACCACTATAATATAGAAAGCAAGTTAAACTAAGGGAGGGCTCCATTTTAGGCAGGTCACTGGAACACCGTGTTTTGCATCACGATACCTCCCGGGGAGCAAGGCTGGTGTTCCAAAAATCAGCCGGTTCTGAAGCTCAGCGGTACAAAGCACTCAACCATATAGTGAGAGGTTCTGAGATCGATCCCCAATGGGATTTTTTCGCATCAATCCTTAGACAGGACAAGTTTTAATTTTGTTTCATAACCAAAGAAGCCATTTGAAGGGTGTTTATATTTTACAATATCCATCAACACAACATATTCCAAGAAAGTATAAATTAACAGGGTGAAATGTCAAATGTCAACTGTCAAATGTTTCATATACATTTTACAAATTGAGAAGATCACAAGATAACCTGTTCTGATTGTCAGAGTGGTTATGAAATTATCGAAGGTTGATATCTCTACAAGAGCGTCTGTTTCCAAATCAAACACGGGAACACATCACACATCGACTATGCACTAAGAATCCCGCCCCTCAGATTATATATTTTAACTCTCATTTCTCACCTAAGTGTAGGGTTACGAAGACTAACGATGAATTTTGCATCTGGCTGAAGATGATGTAAGAATTGTGGAGTTAAATAAAAAGGGTCTTCTCGGCCTGCGTTCCCATGATAGCTATCCCAGTGAGCATTGTCCCAGAGTGTTGAGGCGGAAGCATCACCTAAAGATTAATAAGAGTCGGATAAAACATCGTTCAAGACATCGACGTCTTTTAAACTATATTTCAAGATTCCAACTGAAATAAACAATAGTATTGACATTTCATGAAAGTCAATTAACATTTATTTCTCTTTCTGAATATTAGATAAGTCATTTCACATACCCTCTGTAAAGAAAAAACGTGCATGGTCTTTTATCATTCATAACATTTTCAAAATTTTGTAAACTCTTGGTGGCACATGGTGTAAATATTGTGAATAACTGGTGAACATTTTTAAAAATTAGATGAAAATTTAAATAAGTTAGCAATAGTTAAATATCTCACACTAATTCACTAATGTGACTTTTTCCATTAAATGAAGTCATAAATTTACTTTTATATAATTTTCCTCTACGCCTAAGATACCATTTTCTGTATGTTATATTAGGTTCAATTAATATTTTTAGTCACATCAGTTTAAGTGCTTTTTCCATAGAAAACATGTCGATCATTCTTAGACCACCCTCGTCGTAATCGGCCAATTAAACTTCGTCTCTTAACCTTTTCAACTTTTCCACCCCATAGGAATGAGTAAATTACATGTATCTGTTGTGCCTTTGTTAATATAACATTTGGGGTATTTGTCACATACCTCTGAATGTTTGGTCCGATAATAACAAGAAATAAAAAGGATATGATGGGTGAAAGACATTGCACTTAATTTCAGCATGTCACATTATAAATTATGCGTTCTATGGTAACCATGGCAACCCATGTCGAGGGTACCCGGATCAGTCAAAAAAGAAAGAAGATATTATGATGTTTTCTTAATTAATGGTTTTATACATTTGGAAATACCACCATATTTTGTTATATTTAATGCATTATTTTGAATGCTTATTTTCTCAGATGTTTATTTTAGGTGTTCTTTATATTTACTATTATATATTCAACACATTTTCGTGATGTTTAATGCGTTTGATGAACACGTATCTGAATACCATTAATAAATCAATCAATCAATAAAAGACCAAAGTTGGTGGATCACTTCATCCTACATTGGGATAATAGTACAAAAACGTCATTTCTAAGGGCAACATAGTGAAATATTGGACCGAGGGCCGAAGGCCCAAGGTCCAATATTTCACTATATTGCTCGCAGAAATGACGTTATTAGTATTACTACCACCGTTAACGACCAGGACTGAAACAGCAAGAAAATCTTACGAATTGAACGATATCTAACTTCCCGGGGAAAATTGCCGGTCCAGAATATATTCTAGACCGGTCCATATGGACCACCACTATGACGTCACACATTTCTCAGGTCGATATAGTAAAATGAATGCCTTCTAAACTAGCACTAAACCCCTAGAACTGGCCCGGCAAGGTGGTAATAATGCACCTTACCATCCCTGCCATGGTTACCATAGAATGCAGAATATAAAATGTTACATAAATTTTATTTAATTATTAGATCAACATCCTGTGAGAAAATGAGCCAGATTCAATAACGCTTACAAAAATTAGAGCACCTTTGATCTTACTTAATGATCACCCTGTATGAATGTTCAACTGTACCTGTTATTTTGTTTCTAACTATTTGTAGTGTCGTATTATCAATTTTAGAGCTGCGTTGTATTTCAACGGAAGCCCGATCAAACACATTCACATATTCAGCCAAAGATTGGGTCCATCCATCACGACCTAAAACATCAATGAAATATAGTTGACATGTTCCTTGTCTTAACATTTTCTTATGGCCTTATTTAAATCATTCACGTGATCTCTACGATATTACTTCGATCAAAACGCAGTCCAGGGACATTCGAATTGAGAAAAACACATTTAATCCTTCTTTTTAATTTGACGGACATTCGAATTGAAAAAAACACATTTAATCCTTCTTTTTAATTTGACGGACATTTCAATTGGGAAAAACACATTTGATTCTTCTTTTTAATTTGACGGGCATTCGAATTGAAAAAAAACACATTTAATCCTTCTTTTTAATTTGACGGACATTTCAATTGGGAAAAACACATTTGATTCTTCTTTTTAATTTGACGGACATTCGAAATGAGAAAAACACATTTGATTCTTCTTTTTAATTTAAGGGACATTTGAATTGTGAAAAACACATAGTTTATAAATATTTTATAATTGTCATGTTTAGTAATTTTAATATTGCGTACCGTATCTTCTCTTCGTCCACCATTGAAGTTCTTTTCCCATTCCCTTCTCAACGTCCGGATGTAAATTTAGCTTAAAGTAAACGTCTGTTGTACCGCATTTAGGTTGGCCAAGAATATAGTAGTAAGGAAGGCATCGCAAGCGAAACCGAATGTTTTGTAAATATCTGTAATTTAAAACTTGTTACATTGTTTATTACAGAAAAGGACATAACCAAGAGAGTATCTTCGAGGATAAATACCTTGAATAAATAATTTAGGTTCCTGAAACAAAATCACAAAATTTTCAATCATTAAGCACGTTCTTCCATCTACATACTGAGTTTTAGTGGGAGTTTATTATTAATACAACATTTATACAGTCACGTAATAAACAAAGAACAAAACAGAACAAAACAAATAAAAATAAAAGTTAAAAGCAAATAAAAATTGCACCTCTGGGGTTTTGATTGCACGTCATAACTCAACGGTTATAGCTTATTGGAACGGTGTGTTTAATTCTACATTAGAGTTTTAATTATATTGCTAAAGTAAGGCAACACTATGTTTATCGTTTTCAAATTAACACAGGCGCTAAAACAAGAAAGGCCTTTCATTGACACTGGAAGAGGGGTTTAAACGAATTCTCTGAGAAAAATCCCAGCTTCAGACTGACCTATAGCCACAGTGATTCTATTCAGCATATTGTTTCGTTCTGGAGTTTCCATGCACATTACTGCTCTGTGTGAGAAAATGTCTCCCTCTAGTGCTCCACAATATTCACAAAGCTCAGGTTTATTTGGGTCAAGTGGATTAGTTAGAAACTTTGCTATAACAGTTGCATATTTAAGAAGACCAGGAATCTTTCTTCATGTCTTTTTTTCATTTGAAATATTCTATTCAGGCCATGTTGTCGCTTACCTATGGTTGTAATATTCTGTCATGCGTTTGTAATATCTCCTATGACTCGTGGTCTTGGGGACATTAGAGTACGGATCCTTTTTTAAGGCCTCTACCCAACATGGATTCTTATACCCTGGCAGGAATTCGATTTTTGGCTGTAAAAGATCCAGAGAACCTTATACACAATAAAGACAAAACGAAGACGACATATACTTCAACACAATATAATGTACAAACGAAACAATATTTGTGTAAGAACAACTTTTTCTTCTGACCAATAAAGTCAGATTTGACGTGAGAAAAAATTATATTTTCATTGAAGTGATATCTAACCCAACTATCACACCAAACTAGTTCTCACTACGTTCTCGGAAACGGGCTTCAACTGTGTACGAACGGACTGGACCTACTATGAACCGTTTGGGATCTATTTACAAACTTCATCGAACGTATTCGAACGGGTAGGTCCTCTAGAACTTAGACAATGCTCAAAATGTTCTCGTGGTCGTCACGTTCTACAATTAGAACGAGTGACAACGTACTAACGACGAGCTGGACGTACTACAAACGGAACCGTACTTCAATCCTACTAGGGACGTTTTAACAATGAGTTGAACTGTCTGAGGACGTGTTCGGAACGAGGTAGAACTAATTGCAAACGGGTTTAAACTGATTAAGAACGTATTTAACACTGCTTATGAATGAGTTAGCAAAAATATAGCTATCACACCAAACAAGTTGCCACTGCGTTCTTCAAAACTGGTTTTAAACTGTGTGCGAACGGAATGAACGTAGCTGCAACTTTCTAAGGTCTATTTACGAACTTTATGAACGTTCTCAGACGGGAATGTGATTTTAGAATTTTGAATCGATTCAAAATTCGATGGCGACCATACCGTTCTGTAATCAGGTCATGTTGACCTTCTAGACTAAGGGACGCGTTCTACGACGTTGCACACCGACGTGGTGCGACCTGAACGAACTGCGAACGAGATAGACGTATTGAAGACTGTTTAAGAACGAAGAAGCTAATTATTTCAGACATATTTCCCGACCACAGCCAGATTGAGCCCGTTTTACGACGTTTTCGGAGGACTGGCAAGAACGGGTAAGAACTAGTTTGGTGTACATGTTATCATGAGAGTCGTGTAATCATAACAAGGCAAAACGACCTGTTTTAATGATTTTTCGAAAATCTCCCCGGGTTAAGGGGGGGGGTCCTTCTGTTCACTGTGGTTGCATTGGGTTATTGATTCACAGACCCAAGAGAAGTGAACTATTATAAATATAAATTGTTTCCGACGATATTTCTTTTCTAATGTCTTATGATTTTCACATTTGACATTACAATGATTTTGTTACTTAACAGGATACGTATCCTGTAATTTAACAGAGAATTAAACGTCGTGTAAATTGCATTTATTGAGTACGTAAGAAGCAGGTATATATGTAGCTATTGCCGATAATTAGTAAATTAATCTTTCACCCAGGGATCTCTCATACCCTGACCGCCCTGGATATGACAACATTGTACAGGTGTAAGTCAGTTCAAAAACAGTTTGGACTCCCACCGATACAATCAAGCTATCAACCCGATATGGCCATACAGTACGAACCTTATAAGAATTGAACTTTTAACTATTGATCAAATATGCCTATAAACCGTAAACATCTTATAATCTTATATCAGATATAATCTTATAATCTTATTGCACAGGGTGTTCCAAAAATAACAGGACTGGTGCTGGTATTTTGATTAATATGCATCAATCGTCTTCAAAACTGTACATAATGTACTTTCATGCATTGTAATTGAAACTGCGACGTTTCGACAAAAAATGTGAAATTTGGGTAGAGTTATGGTTGCTATGGTAACATGACATCACAATGCCCTGGGCAACATTCCACGCAGAAAGTTCCAGAGACTTTAAGCATTTTGTACATCCCATATAAAAGTTAAATCCAACAACTGGTGGCAATTACATTTGCTAAATACATCATTTTGTATTCTTGTGTATCCTCTACTTTAAAAAGTAGACTCCTTTTTGGCCAGTCCAAGAGTAGCACTCTGTATCCATGACTCAAACACATGATTGAACACATCTGAGGACATGCCACGCAGGGTCGATAGGACTTGGAGAAGGTCATTCTCATCTTTAACTGTCTTACCGCGCTGATTATTCTATTCTCCATAAAAATAAAAAAAAGTTAGCATTGCATGATCAGAAGAGTACGGTGCATGGTCTTGGACTTAGGCCCCATTTAAAAAAGCTCACCAGCTTCTGTTGTACAAACGAGATCTCGTTGGTAGCGAGATATTACGTGACTACTCAAAATTGCGTAAGTGTGTCTGAAAATGAGAAATGTTTATGCATAAATATTGCATTTAAGAATTATTCGAACATAGGACAAAGCAATGACTTTATATCCAAAGAATTTCTTGGCTTGATACCAACTGTTTTGTCGGCAATAAGAAGCTAAGTGAGTTGTAAGGCAACTATACTTTCCCGACTCAGAATTTTGTAATTATAAAAAAAATCTGCCAACTATTTCTCTCATCCTCCGATCACAGGGCTTCAAAATCCAGAATATCTTCTTTCTTTTTACCCCCTGCTATAACCAAGTTGGACGCGCCCGATTAAACTGAATCACGTGATCTAATTATGCACCGATGACGTATACATGATTGCAGTCGCAGTGTTGCGACAGCCAATCAAATTGCGAGTTCTTAATCGGGGAAATGCTAACTGCTTATAGCAGGGGGGAAGAAGGAGGTACGGATTCTGGACACCTGCTGAGGAGGAGGATTTCTCTCGACACATGGCAATTTCAGGACAATTCCAGCAGAAACCGTAAAATTTGCGGCTAATAATGAAATTGCCCGTTCGTTTCATACAAAAAACATACTTAATGTGCTGGAAATATTAACTCAAAATCTCACAAAATATTGAAAATATTTTTTATTCTGTCATGATGGAGTGGGTACCAGGACCTAAATCTCATGCTTAGTTCTTTGGATATACTTTCCCCACCAACAAGTGTTACATCTTGTCGAAGAGCTGAAATATGCTGCTGTGTATTGAAATAAACACAACCGTAAGGGTTGCCGGATCCAGCATCTTAGTTCTTACAATATACTGCTCCAACCAACGAGTATTATATCTTGTTGGAAAGCAAGATTGGAAATATTATGATGGTTTTAGGACACAATATATTCAAATTGAATCAATTGAAGGAAGAGTGTGTCCTGAACTAAACTGAATTTTATTTCAGATTTCTGAAACAATCAGATGTAGTTTGAAAAGACTAGCATCATGATTCACCTTCACTACTGTTGATGAGATGAATGACAGCCAGATGTTAATCAGTAGAAGTATCATCTCCCACAACTGCCAGGATGCATAAAAGGAGGAGTTCAATAGAACAAAGGAAAAAATATATAGCAGGGATGCAAATAGGCCCACGTAAGTTATTATTTTATATATGAGTATACAGTGTTCATGTTAATGAAATATGTCTATAATTTAAATAATATTTTTTGATTTTTATTGTAAACAAATCCTGTCAATAGTCTCTATTCACATAGTAAATGTGGGTAAATGAAAACATAAAAATTGACCACTGTCTGCCCAGTAGAAATAATGCATTTTAAAAGAAACAGTATTGGTTTGTTTGGAAGAATGTAAGCATTTTCCCCAATTTTTTCACTTAAAATCTTAAATAACTCCCATGTATTAGAGCTGCTCCTAATGCATAACTGTATATTGCGCTACCATCACAGAAAACTGCCTTTTTATTATAGATACACATACAGTTGAATTAAATGATCTCATTAATATCGGCATGAAACAGTTATATGTTTACATATCCAGGTTAGCAAATGCACAGCCACTTGCAGATACACTATTATCCATATCATCCTCATCAGGTAATCAAAGTGTCAGTGCAGTGACGGCTTAAGGAATTGAAAATATCATCATTGAGGGATACCAATGGAGAAAACATAAACAATGAGGTAGCGGATGAGAGTGGTAACACATATGACATGTTAATATATTAATGCGCAAACAAACTTGTCTGAACCGCGTATTGAACCCGGGCCAAACGTTAGTGGTAACTTTGACTCTGCCCCTGAGCCATAGCGGGTGCCACTGAGCCATGTGCGATATGTATACAGTACATAGGATGAAAACGTTGACAAATCAAGAGAACTTACCAGTTTTAATATATCCACATATTTTTCATGAGACATTAAGGTAAAATTGGCGTTCTTCTTAATTTGAGCAATGCCAACTTCCTCTGGGATTTCCCTGGAACTATTTTTATGTAAATTAAGGAGAAATGTTAAGTTAATGTCCTTTCTGGTGAATTTGTCCGTACATACTTCCTCTCCTCTATTGTATTTATTGTCTGGTGTGGCAGTTAAATCTGGGTCCCAGTTGGATGGAATGTCAAAAGCAGTTCTATGCCGTACTCTCTTATAATCTGCAACGTATTTTAGACGCCCTCTTCTTACATTTGGTATAACTGGTAGCACAGATAAACACGTCAGCAGGACGAGAGATATCCCTGAAACTACCAGTAATCTCCAACACGTCGATATGTGACGCAAAACCATTTCCCTGTGTTACCTTCAATTGGAATGATTTAGCTTATTTCTAAAAATGTAGAGATTATAAGAAGGTTATATCACATATTCTGTATGATTTAACAGAGATATACCCCTCGTTTCAATAAATGGTTTACTAATTTTTTTGTCAGCTTTGAAAACTAATAAGTTTAGTTAGAAAACGTATGTAATGTTATGGCACGACTCAATACCAATTACAAAATCAAATAATCCGTCTTAGCATTGCATTTCTGTATTCGGTCGCTTTAGTAGCGGTAGAGTGTTATCAATCATTCAATCTCTAAACAAGAACGTGTTTAGAATTGCGCAGTGGAACTTGAATGGGGCAAATACGTCTAAATCAGCTTAAAGATAATGCGATTAGCGAATATACACTGTTGCTCATAAATGTGGAATATAGGCTAGGCGATTTGGGGCCGTAACCACGAGGTTGCGAGTTCGAGACGCGTGTGCTCCTTGCGTTTATTCATTTATATATATTTATTGTTTGGTATAATTCTTACAGATGATAAGAGTACTAATTGTTAAAAATGTTATTGTCTCCTGATTTCCTCCTCATATTTGCACATAAAACTGATTGTTGTTTAAAGTAGCTCATGGAGGTGGTTCTCGTCATATTTGAGGCCGTATTCACCAAGGAAAGTTGCTCCCGCTTGGTCAGTCTCAACCGTATTGTCAGCGGTGACAGGTACAATGGATTTTTGGACCAACATCTAGTACCACATGCAAACAGAGTGTTTGGGCATAACTTTCAACTGCAGGTTGATCAAGCTCCTGCACATGATAGCTGCATTGTGCAGGATTTCGACAGGGCAGGCAATGTGGAGCAGCTACCAGAGACACCAAATTCACCTGATCAGCCTTCCGTGGAGCACATGTGGGAAGATTCGTGACGGGTATCCCACATCTCAAAGGTGATCATAATTTTTTGAATTGTTTGATTTATATTTTTATCATCAAAGGTACTTCACTTGAAAGAAAATATATTGTTTTGATAAAAACCACTGTATTTATGAAAGTACTCATGGTGAAAGATATGACCGTCTAAAATCACTTGCCATACTGCACGTGGTCTTTTCAGGACCATTAAGCAATATACTTCCTGAGATACATTGACTTAAAAGGGGACATGCCATTAAGAGGCCATTCTCTGACTTAGTCATTTTTTCAAAAGTGTGAAAATAAAAAAATTCATGAATAGTTCTTAAAATATTCTGAATAACAAGTTGAATAAATACACTCCCCTCCATAAGTTTGGCAACCTTTTTTCCCCATTGAACTACGTGTTAAAGCCTCCTTACCTTTGAATTTTTATTTACTTAACCGGCGATGAAATAACTTATAATATTGATGGAAACGTAACTTGACCTTATTCGTCATTCGTCATTCCCATGTAATCCAATGGGAAATGGAGGGTTCGGGGCAAATCAGAAATCAGGATATCTTTTCAGTAAAAGATTCAGCAAAAAATATTTTTATATAAAAAATTGAATTGTCTAACTTTTTAAAACACTAAGTGTTTAGTATATTTGATGAATATAAAAGTTACAGCGCTTCAAAGTCATTTTTGAAAATTATTTTTCGCCTCCTGTGTTATTTCAATGGGAGAGTTTTTTTGAAAAACAAATTTGACTTTAAAGCCCTATAACTTTGTTGAACCTGAAGAAACATATCAATTTTTTGTTAAATAAAGTTAGCAAATTCAATTGCCTGCCTAACTCGTATTTTTTGCAAGGACTCGGATGGATGGATATTCTGTCACATGACTTGCGGCAAACCTACCATTTCCCATTGGTTAACATGGGAATGTCGATTTTCAAAAATTCATCAAATTTATCATCAATTTTCGACCTATTGTAATTGAGATAAAAAATTGAAAAAATTTGAAGGTATTGGAATTAAAATCAAATTACGTTTCCATCAATAGTATAAGTTATTTCATCGCAGGTTAAGTAAATAAAAATTCAAAGGTAAAGAGGCTTTAACACGTAGTTCAATGAGGAAAAAAGGTTGCCAAACTTATGGAGGGGAGTGTATATTTAATGATGGCACAAGCAAAAGTCTGAAATCTAACATGAAATGAAGGGTTTTGACAGATGCAAAATATGGTAGATTTGTGATGAAGAAATAGAGGTTTTTGCAGTAACAACACAATTACCTCGAAGTTATCCGTTATGAGAGGCCGAGGACTAAACTTGACATAATTTTCAATCTCAGATTATCAGTAGTATCTAACTTTAGCCGGACAGTCACTCAAAATGTATATGGAGCCCATAAGATTCATTTTTCTCAATTGAAGTCACCATTTCTGTTTTTAGCTTCAGAGGATAGGAGGTACATGGACATGCCAAGTTTACCTAGATCACAAGCCATACCACAAATATAAAGTATATAGGAATAGAGTTGATATGTGTGAAAACCTTAAACTTCCCATTTTATTGGGGATGGAACTTGTGGACCATGTGTATTTCTAACTTCTTCACATGTGCATGGATCTAAAATTGTGGCAGACATCTTGGATTTGTCATATTGTGTGGACATGGTTTTGGTTGTGCTGAATTTGTTTCAAAATAACATTTGTTGTATACCTTTGATAAGTGAGATAGGCATTTGAAATTAAATACAGATAGTATACTTGACATGTAATGCAGTAAACAGTAATACAATTCATTCTTACATAATAAGTGAGTCCAGACAAAAAGTTGTTAGTTTAACTGGGCATAAGTTACACTCATTGGCCTTGGTTTTCTTAATTGGCTTGGATAAAATGTTGTTCTGTTTATTCAGAAAAGGAGTATAGTTCAATATACAAGTTCACATTCGTTCCATCCTCTTGTAGAAATGAATCTCATATTATTTCATCTCAAATATAGAACACAAAAATATGATAAAAAACAAGTTTCTATTAATTGCAAAAGTAAGCTTCTATGTCATGACTGAGTTTGGGTTCCGCTTCTAGGGAAAAAATATCCATCTGGAAATATCGTATTGACCATTGCTATACACTCCATATTAATCCTCCCAGAAAATAACATAGATATACAGTATACAAGTATATATGACATCGAGGATCTGGGGTTTGGGAAATGTGAGACATGAGGCCACTTGTCTTTTTGAATCTCATATTCAATATTCTTTCTTTAAACCCTCATATTTAATATTTTGGAGTGGTAATTCAATTATGTACCTATTTTTTATTCTTTATCCCATAGTTGAACTCTGTTCCGCTCTGTTAGGTAACATGAAAACATATTTATGATATTTTGCAAATGCGTGGAAAAAGTGATATCTGTGGAATACGGAAAATATTTCACAGATATCACCTTTTGGCAGGGATTTGAAAACTACCACCAATATGATGTGTTTTGTTACATAGTGATTTCATAACATCACGATGAATGAATGAATGGATGTTGTTTTGATATGCTTTGTTTAGTTTTAGAGGCGAACTATGGGAAAAATAGAACATCCTATGAATTTTCGTGATATTGTGTTAATCCAACTCATTGATATCAATATCTGCGCTAATTCGATATTGATATCATGTCGGAGATAAAGATAAAATCATTTAAAATCATATGATATCCTATACATATCCTGTGCCACAACATTCTCATATGTTATATATTTTGGCACAGGTCATCATTTATTTTCCTTGAATTCATGCTTTTGTTCCTCGTTTTAGAAATGAGAGGAAATCTTTGATTTTCCTTGTATTTAAGTTGCTTAAATGTTGCCCTGTGATTTTGATAAAAGTCAATAGTAATCCATTACAGTCACAGTTGAAATGTACCCATTGCTAGCACAGAACCTACAAAAATAGCATTTGCATTTTGTCAATATTGCCCTATGTGCTTTTCCATGAAAATAATTTTAATCCTATCTTTTCTTCAGTATTTCATATATTACATTTTAATATATTTGAATTGGTTAATATTTATATACTATTTACTTAGACAACAATAAATAAAGAATTTTTTGTAAAAAACCAAAAATGGTATATGATCTTTAAATGACTGTTGTGTGAACATCAAAGGTCAAAATTCGCTGAAATTGTATTTTTATAAAGCACAAATGATTTTTCTTCAATATGATATGCATTATTATCAGATATCTTTGAGGGCTAAAAAGGGCCCTTAATGACACCCGAACCAAAGGCCCCATGGTACATATGACGTCATTAGGTTGAATTGATTTCGGGAGTGCCTTTATAGACTGAAATGATTCCGTCAATCTTTGTTCTTTCAGCTGTTAATCAGGTTATATTATAACTAATGTATATTCAATCTAAATCACTTGGTAAAAAAAGTAAAAATAATATAGAATGTCATATAATATAGAATAATATTCCTGTCAGGAGCAAATAATATGTTGGCATTTGCAATCAAAAAACGATTATACTCGGTTATTTTCGAGCCGTAATCCCTAATTATTCAATTCCTATGAAATGAGTTTCATTCATACTGATAGTTAATCCGTTTGTTAGGGTTAATGGATTAATCTCTACAGCTGATGGCGCTTAATTCCACAAAACAATTTGCAAAATAAGTTTTTACATAATATTTGATTGTATAATGTCCCTTGTGTTATGATTAACATTGTGTTAAAATTTGGATTTAATTAATTGATTCAACGGAAAGTTAATTTTTAATCAATGGGTTTTCTCACATTTTTACTCCATTCCTCACAATTTAACTCAATTATTTTTCTGTCAAATAGGATAGTTTCTAAATAGCAGAAAAATCAATGAAATCTTGTGCTGCCATCTTTTATTCAGCTTTTAACTCGGGCTAGAGCTCCATTCATTTACATGCTAAAATCTTGGAAAAGTGGCTTAATTTCATGATTTATCAAAGTGTGTTTGTTGAATCTGTATAAAACTTGAATGATATACCACATGATGACCCTGTTTATGTACATGATGTGATTAAACATGCAAATGTTGATTGATATACAAATAATCCACGGATTTAAAGAATTTTAGCATTGCATCTATTGACATTTGGCCCAAGTTTTTTTAAATTGTTATAGAAAATTATTCAAATTACATAACTGTGTAAATCAAAGCTATTAAAGGAGAAAACATTTCACTGAATTCAAATATGCCATTTAGAAGAAGGTTATGTAAGTCATTAGAGGTCTAATATGCAAGTCTCTTAAAATCTCAAGAAAAACGAGATTTCAAAAGCTATATGGAAACTATACTATTAAACAACACTTAAAGCCTCCTCTTACACAGACACGAACACCTTTTATCACTTCACTTCACAACACAGAACATTTATGACACGAAACTGCTATATATCA